ATTTCATTGCAATTTGTATTCATTCAGCCAAGCGTTGTGGCTGAATTTCGAATACATTTAAAAAAGTTTTTTATTGTAATTGTGTTTTCGCCATTTGCGGTTTTTGCCATATATCGAGAAATATGGCTGCACGTAGGTGTGGTTACAAAGAGCACTTCTTTAAGCCATAATTCAGACACACACACACATACACACACACACACACACACACACACACACACACACATCATCATCATCATCATATTCAAATCTCTAATCAAATGAGGCGGAGCATTTTCTTCAAACATCGTTAACTCATTTAACTCATCATTCCAATTGCCTAACATATATATGGGGCATAAGTTGAATTGTCATTGGAAGAAAACAAAATTCATTTATCCACTTTTACGTTCAACAAATTCCATCCATCAGCTGTTAGCTGTAAGAAAGCTTCAGCTTAAGTCTTCTCCTTTTTAAAGAATGTGAAGACTTATTGGGGTTTATTAAAGCTTGTAAGAGTAAAGGGGAAAGGAAGGGAAAAAAAGTTTCATTTGTTTCAATTTTACATTCAAGTAAATCCATCAACTGTTTGTGAAGAAATTTGAAAAGTTTTCCTCTCTTGTATTTTTTTTCTTTTTTTTTTTTTTGGAAGCTATGTTAAAAGTATCGAATATTAAAGCTTTCAACGAAAGCAAAGGAGAAAGTAAAGCAAAGAATTCAGTTTTCCAGTTGTACGTTCAATAGATTTCAATCAGCTGTTAGTGTAAGGAAGCTTCAGTAATGTCTTCTCTTTTCAGCGAGTAGATAAGGAACAAATGCTTTATTAAAGCTTTTAAATAATTAAGGGGGCGGGGGGGTAGAGGAGAAATAGTCATTCTTCCAATTTTACTCTCAAGTAATTTCATTCATTCAGTTTGTAGAAATTCAATTTCAATAATTTCTCCTCATTTTCGTAGCTGAGGTAAGTTACGAAATACCGAAGCTTTTAATTAAAGGGGAAGAGAAGGGGAAGAAATATTTATTTTACCACTTTTACGTGTAGCAACACGACCACCATCTGTTTGAAAGGAAATTTCAATAAATTCCCTTTTTTATAGAAGCGTTGCTGAATTATTTAATATTCGAACTTTTAGTTAAGGGAGAAAGGTCATTAAAGTTACTATAGAAGATAATGTATTTCCGTTTTTATGCTTTCATTGGAAACGCGAATAACTTCATTAATTATTATTATTATTATGAAAAGATTAGGTCAGATTTATTCTTAACACTTAAAAAAAACCGACCTGCTTAAAAATACCCTATCACCAGAGGATAGAAGGCGTTTGAAACGCCCACAAGAAAAGTTCAGAGACCCCACAAACTATATATATACATATATGTTCATATGATCATTTTCAAATTTCGAATGGATTTAAGCATGTCCGTCTGTCTGTGTAATGTCTGTTGTAACCTTTTTTTTTGGCTATCGACTTGAAATTTTTCATAAGCATTGGTAGTCCATGGGTCGAAGGACATGCCTAACGTACTACGTTAATTGAGAATGCCTCTGTTCTTTGAAAGGGATAAAAAATTGTTTTTCTGCTCATTACTTATAAATTACAGCCGATAAATCTATCAATCTCAATTTAATTTTTTTTTTTTTTTTAATATCTATATTAAACGCCGAACCAAGCTTCAAAAACCCTATAAGAAAATTCTTGGCCAATTTCAAATTCGGAATGTATCTAAACAAGCTTCGGTATGTTATAAAAGGTATTAAAAAGAATTAAATTTTGATATCCTATACGATCGGGTAGGCGTGGTTAATCTTCTTCATTCATATACATGGACTTCGGCATAGTCCGTAGAATAAAAGTTTTATGAATTTATCTGTTGTGGTTTATGTGACGTAATGAACAAAAAAATTATTTCTTATTGGTTTTGAAAAACAGAGGTATTCTCGGTTTGGATGGTACTGTGGGCATAGTCTTCGACTTGTTTGGTCCATTTTTAATACCAAGTGAGGTGCAAAAACTTTCAATATTGCTGCCAAATTTGATATATCGATGGCGTCATCAATGCAGTAGACAATACATAGACGGACAGATGGACAGACGGACATGCTTAAATCGATTCAGAATTTAATGCTTGCTAATCAAGCATATATATCGAAAAAAATTGACTTAAAGAGTAATAACGTCTTCAAGAAAAGTTCGTTTTGAATCTTAGTGACGTCTATGCACGCTGCAACAAGGTTCGTGCTAAGCCAATCGTTGGTTTTCTTCATAATCTTATCAAAAATTACTTTCCCAATAACTTATAAAGGATGCGCTTGTCTTTTCATAATGTATGTAACACTCAATAGGAAGCTTTAGAGACTCAGTAAAGTATATATTCTTTATATATAATTATATATTCTTGATCAGCGTGTAATTCTGAATTGGTTAAAGTCCATCGTGATGTGCCTGCGTTTGCTGGCACTTTCCTGGCTGCAAAAATGAAGATATCGAATTCAAATTTGATAGGAAAGTTGGAAGCTTTTACAAGCACGTTGTTAATGAAAATGGGCCAATTTGGTTAGAGCAGAAGACCGCAGTGGCAACTCCATTTTTTTTAACAAAAATCTATGGATATATGCTTGTCACTCCGATGTTATTAAAGTTGGAAGCCTAAAATTTCCCCGATTTCCTTTTCTCTACTCTTTATGTGCAAAAATCGAAAATATCGGCCATGCCCACATTGAGTCATGCGTTAATAAATTTTATTTTTTTTTTTACTTTTTTGCGGTTTTATTGCTTACTTATCATAAGGCAAACAACAAATATTTTATGCATTCCTCAAATCATGACATATTGTCTGCCTAAAAATGGGTTAATTCTATGACTATCGTAGACACAGCGCTTTCACGGTTTAGTTTTTTCATAATAATACCACCGATATGGGTGTCAAATAAAAGATCTTGAAGAGCGGAATGCGAAAAGCATAGCGGTGGGTGTGTGAGATTTGGTCTCCGCCGAATACTTACTGGTATTATAATTTATTTATTAATTGGATGGTACGTTAGAATAAATTGGTGGGTATGCGAGACTCGGCTCCCATCGCATATAACTTTTACTTATTTGATACTTATTTGATATTTCATTGAAAATTTGTCAAAGCATTTGGCGAACTCGTTCGAATTTCAAATTCCTCAATTCTTCAAAGTAAATGAGGAAAGGAAAATAACTTGCACTTGCTATGGTACATACGTGCTGTTTGCTTATCTATGCATACCATAGTCCGTATTCACTTAAAAACGCAAATTCGTATATGCTACCGCCTTGCGAATGTTTCAGAGAATGTGACGTCATTTGTGAGAAGCCATTAATAAAACTTTCGCCCACACAACTGTAACTATAATAATGATTTATATCATCCAATTCTCCTCCTCCGCCTCATTCAATTTCGCAATTCTTTCCAATATTTAAATAAAAAACACGATAAAAGTCGTTTGGAAATTTGATTTTTCATGTCATGTTTATTTTTCAAATTAATTAATTCAAAAAGCGAATACATAAATAAAACACAAAATGGTTAAGTACTCACCATTTGGAAATTATAGGGCGACTCGACGACACTTTAATCATTCCCAATATTCATTCCAAAGCAGGAAGGAGAGAATTTCTTGAAGCGAAGTGTAGTGAGTAGTTGGCCACGCAAGATACATTAACCCGCACATGATGCTTTTAAGGCAATTGACAGTCTGTCAGTTGTAAACAAAACAAAGAGACGAATAGTGTTAAAATTAGTTTATGTTCCCTTCATATAACTAGGTACTTAAGGATGACGACGACTTCTTGTTTTTTTTTTTTTTTTTCTTTCTTTTTTCTCACTCTTTTTGGAAGTGACACACTGCTTTATGACTTGACTTGCTTTGCCTTGCCTAATTGCAGTTAAAATTCATGTTGCCTGCCAGCTACTCTTATAATTAGGATATTTTTTTTTTAAGTATGCTAAAAAAAATGAAACCTGCTAGGGCTCGCCGCCATATGTAGTAAACTTATATAAAAACTTATTTCGAAAATTAATTCTTTTTTTTTCTTATTAAATGAGATTTTGTGAATTAGTACAAGTTGTTTAAGGTTTATTTTGCAATTTGCAATTTGTTCTTAATTTTCTTCGCAAAATACACATAAAAAGTCGAAATATTCTTTTGATGTTTGGTTTTCATTTACATTTAGAGACACATAATTATAAACTAACATACAAGTAGTTCCATAATCTTAAAAGGATTAATATCCGATATAGCTTTCAACTTTTTTTAATTAAATATCTGTTTGACACCTTGTACCTAGAAAATGTCGAGGAAATGCTACATTTTTATGAATCGCTTATAAAAAAAAAAAAAAACTTTCTTTCTTCTTCTTACTTTTCTTCCTTTTTGTCGCAATAAAATTTTGCTTTGTTTTCTTTTTTTTTTTTAATTAAATTAAAAAGGATTCCTTAAAATTAATGCTATTGTTGTTGATTTATATATAGATAATTATGTATATTTTGTCAAGTTTCCTTTTTTTTTTCGTTCTTTTTCTTTTTTTTTTTTTGTTTGCAAAGAATATAAATATAAACTGAAAGTTAGATAAATAGAGTAAATGAAAAAAAAGAAAAAAAAAAACGAATGTACACGAAAAACAAAAGAAGTTTGAATTAAATCGTAATTATAGTAATAAAATTAAATATGCCTTCTTTCTTTAATGTTTAATCAAAAAGGACGTACAAATCTTTTTAAAGTATATTCCATATATCTCAGTTGCTAAAGTTCATCTTGTTTAGTTGTTAGTGGCCTTAGTTTTTACATATGTTTTATGGATGGGTATAGAGTGGGTTTTCGAAAATGCTAAGCACGCGTTTCCTTCATAAAACTGATTTGGTGGTTATTTGTGTTTAACAATAAGTCAGGTTATCATCATATTAAACTACAAAGTACAATGTAAATGGAAAATATTAATGTATGGGTGATGTAAAATAATTTGTTATTCCATTTAGGAAGTTTTTCTTTTCTTTTCTTTTTTTTTTTCATTTTTCAATTAAAAAAAGCTTAAGAGCCTAGAATGCAGATTAAAGTGTTGGCTTCAGTTGTTTGTTTTCTTTTTCTTTTTTTCTTACTTCAATAGTACACTACTACCACCAGGCTTATAATTTCTGTGAAGTTTTCGTTACGCTTGTTTTCGGAGAGAAAAGTTAATTTCCTTTTTCGCTTTATTTTCTTTCTTTCTTGCTGGTTGTATTGCTTACTGTTTTTCTGTTATGTTTTCTTTTTATCTGGATTTATTTATTTGCCTGATTTTATTTATTCCTGCCTGTTTTCCTGCCTGCCTGTGTTCAGATTTTGATTTCTTCTTTGCTTTGCCTTTGTTTATCCTGCCTGCCTCTTTCTCTCTCTCTCACTCCCTCTCTGTTTCTCTTGTATGCTTGTTTATTGATATTTTTGCTCTATTTTACCTATTTACGAGGGAAAATTAGAAAAATTTTTTCATTAGAAAATTTTATGTAAATCTAGGTAAATGTCGATATTATTATTATTTTTTTTTAAATATTCAGCGTTTTGAAAACTTAAACACAACAAAACGCTGACAGAATAAACAAAATTTTTATAACTTCACGTTTTTCGTATTGATTGCGGTTAAGTGAATAAAATCTTCATCGAGTGCACACCATTTTTTTTTCTTTTTATATTCAAAATATTTTACGAATGATGAAAGACTTTACACTCAGCCCAATACTTGATGATTCTTTCAAAAAACTTACCATGCTTAATATCTCCTATTGCCTCCTCCCATGTTGCCGCCACCGCTTGGTCCACCAGTGCTATTGTAGTTATTGCCACCGAAACCACCACTGTTTGGATTATTACCACTACCTTGATTGCCGCCACCTGCACAAAGATGACATCAAAATTTCATAATTTTTTTGCATAAAGTTTAAAATAAATGAATTTACTAACCACCTTTATTGAAGCCATATGGAGCTGCTCTGTTGTTACCGAAATTGCTGTTACGTTGTGGGCCACCGCCATAACTTTGCTGGTAATCGTTACCGAAACTGCTTGGACCACCTCCAGTACCTCCGCCAGTATTACCACCGCCCCAATTGTTATTACCACCATTCATCGGTGGGCCGCCAAAGCCGCCACCATTATTCCAGCCATTATCGTTAGTTCCTTGGCTGTTCCAGGGGCCACCAGCTTGATTGTTCCAACCACCTGGACCACCACCCTGATTTCCAAAATTACCGCTGTTACCGAAGTTATTATTACCCCAATTGCCGCCATTTTGCCGACTATTACCCCAGCCCCCTTGGTTCCCACGATCGTTACCGCGACCTCCACGACCCCCTTGATTACCACGACCACCTCCTTGACGATCCATATCCTGTTTTGCAATAGCTTTTTTCACATCTAATGTTTTATTCTTAATATTATGAATTTTTTGCAAAATAATTTTATCAACGGGATCGTAATCATCAAATTCAACAAAAGCGAAACCGCGCTTTTTACCGGTTTCTTTGTCTGATACAATATTAATGCCCACTATGTGACCATACTTTTTGAAATATTCGCGCAAACATTCCTCGTCGTGGTCGTCACGTAGACCGCCTACGAACAACTTTTTAACAGTTGCTCCCGCATTGGGATTGTCAATATCTTGACGAGGTACAGCACGCTTCGGTTCAACTGTACGACCGTCTATTTTATGAGGCCGGGCATTCTGGGCATTGTCAATCATGTAAGACTGCGAATAAGTAATGAAACCAAAGCCGCGTGAGCGCTTTGTTTTGGGATCTTTCATTACTACGACATCAACAATATTACCCCATTTTTCGAAATGAGCCTTTAAGCCTTCGTCCGTGGTTCGATAATCTAAGCCGCCAATAAATAATTTACGCAACTGTTCAGGTTCCGTAACAGGCTGTAATTAAAATAAATAAACTGAAATTAAGTACAGTCATATTAGCCGCAAAGAATTGCATTTAACAGATGCCTATGTATGTAAAGCGACAGGAAACGTGGTGTTGGTATAATTAGATATTGACGTATAAAAAAAAAAGAAGTAAAGCCAACCGCCATTTTGTTTTTATGTATACACATTTGTACAACAATCATACTGATGGCATAAAAAAGAAATCAACATACAAAATTGAAGCCTTTTAAAGTTAAAAAACTCTCAAAACAAAAAAAAAAAAAACAAAATATCACAATTTTTCCATTGACATTAAATTATGTAAAATTTCAACGAGTTTCTTCTGTGTATTGCAAATATAGAAAAAGGAATTTACCTCATCATCGTAATCGCCATTTTCAGTTTTTATATCAGACATTTTTTTTATTTTTCACGTTTGTTTAATATTGATAATCAAAAACTCTTAATCAAATCAAATATTATGGATTGAAAAAAACTTATTTTATACGTTTAACCGAACAATATGCACGACACAATGGCTTCGGCAAATTTACTTCAATGAATTGAAAGAAATTGATTGGTTTCTTTCTTTCTACCTACAAGTTTATATTGTTGCCAGAA